TGGAAAGCACAGCCCACCAGGTGTGGGGCAGTGGGCTTCTCCTGTGGAAGGAAGACAGGCTCCAGGCAAGTCCAGGTACCCGCCTCTGGGAAGGCGGTAACATCAGGGATAGTTGGGCTCTTTTTCTTCTTTATTGTGTAAATTATACCAGAGGTAAAGCTGACCATCTTAACTGTATAGTTCAGTGGCAGTAAGTCCGTTTATGACGCTGTGCAGTATCACCCGTGTCCCTTCCAGGGCATCTCATTCCCCCACAGGATCTGTACCCTCCCCTCCCTCCCTCCTGCTCTCTGATCTGCCTGCTCTAGGTATGCGTACCCGCGGGCTCACTTCTGGAGTTATTTTGCTTGGCATGACATCCTCCGGCTTTATCCGTGTTGTGTCAGACTTTCATTCGCTTTTAAGGCTAATCTCCCATTTAATCGTAGGTCTCTATTTTATCTGGTCATTTGCTGACAGACACTTGAGTTGTTTTTGCCTTTTGACTGACGTGAATAATGCTGCTGTGAACTTTGGTGTACAAGTGTCATTTACTTATGTGCTTTGCTGAGCTGGAACCCAGTGCCTCACACATGCCAGGCAAGCGCTCTACCCCTGAGCCACCACCCCAGCCCCTGTGTGTGACTTTTTGAGGAACAGCCAGACTTTTCCACGGCAGCCACACCATTCTGCATTCCCACCAGCAAGGCACCAAGTTCCCAGCTTCCCCACCATTTGCCTGCAGCTGCCTTCCTCGTGGGGGAAGTGGCCTCATGGATTTGACGGGCGCGTCTCTGATAGCCAGCAGTGGCGAGCACCTTCTCGTGGGCATTCAGACGACTTTGTTGGAGAAACATCTTGGCAGTTCCTTGTCCATTCTTGAATTGGGTAGTTTGCTTTTTGTTTTCAGTTTCTGACTTTTCCTCATCTAGTTCTTAAGGGGTGGTCAGCTCAGCTGGTGAATGCCGAGTTAAATGTGGGGTCACTGGAGGAGAAGACCGTGGTGCTGTGAAGCTCAGTAGGCCCTCAAGTCCAAGGCCCAGCTGAACCTCGCTGCCTTCCAGGAGAGCAGAGCCATTCCTGTGGAGGCCTCGGGTGGAGGCGGCTGTTATGACACATGCTGCATCCTATTTTTTGGACGAGGCCTCCCTCAGTTGCCCAGAATGGCCTGGAGCCTGCGATTGTCCTGCCTCAGCCACCTGAGTAACTGGGATTACAGGCCCACGCCTCCGTGCCTGGCTTTATGCTGCCTATTCTTAAGTATTTCTGCCCAACCTACTTCCCAACTTGATTTTTAGGTGACTTTTACACTAAAAGACTTTTGATGTGATAAAGCCACATACCACAAACACACAGGCTGGGATTGGAAAGGAATTAAATCAGAAGTGAAGGCTGAAGTGGGTAACATCAGGGCTGGGTTTCCTTTTCCAACCAAAGAGGAAAACTAGCTCTGAGTTTCCCAGCAGTCAAAGCAAAGAGAGAAAGCAACAAGCCGCACGCGTTTTTTAAAAAGGACCCCAAAATTCAGGAAGTCCGGCCCCATCTCCCCTTGGGTTTGACAAGAATCACTGCACAAAACGGCCACCTTAAGAGAGGCCACTGAGGCTTTGCAGTCTGACCTGGTTTCAGATCTCGCCTCTGTTCAGTCTTCAGGTTTGAAAATGAGAAGTGACCTCTCGCGTTGCATTGACCCTTACGTGCAAGGAGAGCTTGCATCTCTGCCCAGTGCCTGGCGTGTGTCTGCGTCAGGTGTCTTCCGCTGCCACTCTGGCTCAGCCTCCCCATGGCGCCCTGCCTCTTCCCCTGCCTCACCCACCCCTGCTCCATACTCCAGGTGGCTCAGGCTTTCCTCCCTATTGTCAGGTGCTCTGGGTGAAGGGACACGATTCCGTTCCCTGTCCCTGTATGCTGGGACTTACATTTCTTTTTTTATTTCTTACTCTTTTTTAAATTGAGGTAAATACGTAAAATTTGCCCTTCTAACCATTTTAAGTGTTTGGTTTAGCAGTGTTGACTGGGCAGCGTTCACACTGTGGACAACAGGGCTCTAGGACTTTCCATCTTGTAAAACCCGCTCGCCCTCTTCTTCCCATGAATGCCTGCCCCCTCACACCCGTTAGCCAGCAGCCCCCACCTGCCCTCCCCCAGTCCCTGGTGTCACATTCTGTCTGGTTTCCATGATTGATGACTCCAGCTGCCTCATAAAAGTGGAATCGTACAGTGTTCTGCACTGGCTGGTTTCGATTGGCGTCCTGTCCCCAAGGTTCTTGCACGAAGTGCCAGTTTATAGGATTTCCTCCTTTTTTAAGACTGAATAATAATCTGTGTGCATGGACCTCATTTTATTTACTCATTTGACGGTATTGGGTCGCTTCTCCCTCTTGGCCATCATGAATGATGCTGCAGTAAATGTGAATATGCAGGTCTTTCTGAGATGCTGCTGCTGGATCTTGGGGGTCATTCTGTTACCGCTGTTGACGGTGACGAGTTCTTGCTTCCCCAATGTTGAAGAATAACACCAAAGAAGCACGCCGAGGCAAGGTCAGAGTAGAAATTAGAAGTTTATTAAAGGACAGCAGAAAAGACTTCTCCCGGAGGAAGAAGGGGACCCAAGAGGTGGAATCCGTGGAAGGGATGTTGTCTCCCCTTTTTATAGTTCTTTCAGTGATGGAATGTAGGTGGGAAGGCCCGAGGGGTGGGACACAGGTGGGCCAAAGAAGTAATCTGGTCAGGAAGGACTTCTCAGTCAGCACCTTTTTGCTGGGGGTTGTTCATTAACATTTCTTTGAGGTGGACTTTGGCCTAGGGCCTTTTCGGGACTTCATTAACATGAGTTGTCCTGTGTTTTCCCTGAATCATTGCCAGCATGGCCTCCATTTTAGATTTCACTCGGCATTAGACCTGATTTATCTAACTACACTGACTACCTAACTTTAAATCTGGCTTCAATTCTGTGTTCAGTTTTTGGAGGGACCTGCCCAGTGTTTGCCATAGCAGCTGCACCTTTGTACATTCCTACCAGTGGTGCTGAGAGACCCAATTTCTCCAACACTTCTTTTTTCCCCTTTTTTGGAAAACGCCGTCTTAATAAGCACAAAGCAACATCTCACTGTGGCTTTGATTTGCGTTTCTCTGATTGGTGGTGTTGGGTGTTTTTGCATGTCCATTGTGTATCTCCTTTGGTTAGGTGTATTCTGGTTCTTGCCATTTTTTGACCAGGTTGCCTGTCTTTGTCATCGTCATGTTTTGGGAGTTCTTCATATGTTCTGAATCAACCTCTTATCAGATTATTGCACTCACGGGCATGTGTTTCTTGATTAAAAAACAATCTGAGTTGCTGGCTGAACAAAGGTGAGGGTGGTGGCCTTTGAACCCACTGGGCTCTACTTTCCCGTGCCTGGGTGATTTAAGCTGCCCCTCACCTTCTGAGCTCCCCTCCCCAGCTGAGGTTGGACATAACCACAGCGTCTCCCGGGACTGCTGGAGGGCTCCAAACGTGAGTGACTTACAGGCACCCCAGGAGGTCCTAAGGGCTCCAGAGCAGTGCCATCTCCTGACACTTGTCAACAAGATAGAGGACCCTGCAGCCTCAGTCCTTCTGGGAGGTGGACCTCCCCGTCCTTCTGAGCATGCACACTGCCCATGAGTGTCCTGTTCCCTGCTCGCTACTGGCTCTGCTCTGGAGGCCGTGGCGAGGCTGCCGAGCGCGGGATCTGGAGGCGCCTGGCGCAGATGATTGCAGAGCAGAGCTGAGTCCTGCAGAAAGCCCGTGAGGAGCGGCTTTCCTTTGAAGACGAGCCACCGCCCGGCTCCAGACGCGCGGTCTTCTCTCTGCCCCAGTGGACCGCATTCCACGGTGGAAGTAGATCTGGACCTGAACGCATCTGATCTTGTTGGGTAGTTTAAGGTTTCAACATCAGGTCGGAGTCTTGACCTTGAGTCTCTTTCTCACCGTGGATACTCAGGCAGTTCTTGAAAGGACTCTCCCTCCCATCGCATTGACTCCCCCTGCCCGACTTTTTCCTTTCCTTCCGTGTTTTGAAGCCTTCTTGTTTTACAGTTATTTCATCTCTCTTAAAATATTTCCGTGTCTCAAATAATTTTCTGGAACTCTTCCCTAGTCGGGAGTCTCTAAAACTGCGTGCGTGTTTGTGTGCATGTGTTCATGTGTGTGCACTCGGGCATTGCTTCAGGCATGTCAGTGGTTATTTCTTTAATAAAAATGGCATGTGCTAAAGCCTCACACAATCCAGGGTTTCAGCAGTGGCTCCGCCATGTGTGCTGGGACCTGCCACATACACAGGTCACTGCTGCTAGGTGGGTCCCTTCTTGTCCCACTCCTTTCCCATACACAGAGTGGCCCTGCTGACAGTGACACTCTCGTGTGGTGGCTGTGGGGTCCATGAGCCATCCCAAGTTGGGCCCTCAGCCCAGGTGACTTGTCACTTCTAGCCTCTCTGTAAAAGTCCTCTACCTGGCTGGGAGCGGTGGCACACGCATGTAATCCCAGTGGCTTGGGAGGCTGAGGCAGGAAAATTGTGAGTTCAAAGCCAGCCTCAGCAAAAGCAAGGTGCTGGCTGGGGTTGTGGCTCAGTGGCTGAGCGCTTGCCTAGCATGCGTGAGGCACCGGGTTCCATCCCTGGCACCACATGAAGATAAACAAATAAAGGTACTGTATATTTATTTGAGTTGCTGAGCAACTCAGTGTGACCCTGTCTCTAAATAAAATGCAAAATAGGGCTGGGGATGTGGCTCAGTGGTCGAGTGCCCCTGAGTTGAATCCCCAGTACCCACCCTCACCAAAAAAAAAAAAAAAAAAAATCCTGTTTTTGTCCCTAATCTAAAGGCAGTTGAGCTGCCGTGTTACTGGTTTGCCACACTCTCCGCTGGGCCCTAGGGGCGCTAGGCCCTCAGTGTGGCCGGACTTCCTTCTGTGACTCTCAGGCTCCCTCCAGGCCCTGTGAGGAGGGAACCACCCTGGCCTTCCCCGAGTTCTCATACAGACTTTTCTTCTCTCACAGCTGATGCTTTTTTCAAAGCTGCTATAAGCCTCGTTCCAGAAGTTCCAAAGATGATAAGTATCGACGGGAAGATGCGGCCTTCGGAGTCATTCCTTCTGGAATTCCTCTGCAATTTCTTCTCCACTTTATTAATCGTCCCGGTACGTCGCCCCGCCAGGGCCACGGGAGCTCTCCTTACCCTGCCTCCATTGTTCTGGGAGCCCTGAGAGTGCGGGTATCCCGAAGGTTCCTGTGCTGTGGTCTGGGTGTGTCATCTGAGGTGTGACCCATCAGCATTTCTCGCTGTTCTGAAGGCTGGCAGTCTGAGGTCCGGGCACCAGCGCGATTCTGGTGAGACCCCTCATCTGGGTTGCCGACAGCCATGATTTTGTCGTCATCATGTGGCAGAGAGAGAAAGCCAGGGCCAGCTCTCTGGCCTTCTGGGTGGTAGTTCTTCTGGGTCCTAATTACCTCCTAAAGGCCCCTCTAAATATCATCACATTGGGATTAGGGTTTCACTGTGTGGATTTGGGGGACACAAACACACAGGCCATTTTACTCTCAATTGCTGGGACAGGAGGCTTAGGCAGGGGCCAGCCCCAGGACCCCCACAGCTGGACTGGAATCTCATCTCCTCCTCCTCCTCCCAGGAGGCTGAGTGGATTGAAGCAGGCTCCTGAGTCGAGTCGGCCTTTTCGGAAGCCCTCAGTGATTCAGGCTTAGGGAGACGTAGGATGGCCCTTGGAGAAACACGACTCTGAACTTGGCCATGAAAGTGACTCAGCTCCCATGGGTGTGGGGTTCCTGCTCGGGGTGATGAAATGTTCTAAAATGGAGCGTGATGATCGCAGCTCTGTAAGCCCCTGACAGTGGTTGGACTGTGCATTATAAACGCGGCCGTTGTTTGGGATGTGGATTACACAGAGCTCAGCAAAGCTGGGGAAACAAAAGGCGTCCCAGCTGCAAACTCCTCTCCATCAGCTCCCAGCTTCTCAGGGGAGGGGTCAGGAGGCCCCTGGAACCGCAGGCCACTACTGCAGGGTGCGGACCTCTGTCATCCTGCAGGAGAGGTGGGCCAGAGTCAAGGGGTAGAGCTGCAGGGGCACATCCTGGAGTGTCTTCACCAATACTTGGTGAAGTGCTTTTGATCCCCATTAGTGCCGATGGTCAATGCCTCTCCTCTTTGGATAGTCCATTACTTATGATGTGAGAGGACAAAAGAAAAAAATCCCAGTGTCCACCAAGGCAGCCGGTGGAAGTGGTGGGTTGGTCGGATGTGTTTACCGTCTGTGTAGGGTTTTCTGGAGTCTTTGTCCCCAGAGTCAGAAAGTTGAGTTCAGTTCTGACCCCAGGACTTGGTAGCTCTGGGACCTTGGGGGTGTTGTGTGACCCTCAGAGCCTTGTTTGTCACCTTTCTACGTCATTAGAGTGCCCACCTTGCAGGATAGCTGCAAGGGTTGAACGAATTGATGGCTATGAAAGTGCTTCATAGTCCCGGACCTCTGTCCCTGGGGCTGCAAATCAATGAGCAGAGGGTGGAGTCCAGCCTGCGGTCATGCTTGTCAGCCCTGTGGTGATGGAAATGTCTGGAGTGAGTTGCCCACATTTAAAATTTGATCAATGAAAATCCAAATTTGAGGCTCCCTTTGAAAAATCGGTTCTTGCCAGTGGGGCCCACATTCCATGACCTGGCCAGTTAGCCACACCTGGGAAGCAGTCACCTTGTCAGGCAGGTGCGTGCACCTCTTCAGCTCCCCTGGGCTCCTCTAGATGCATTAAACCCATTTCTGTTGCCTGCCTGGCTCCTCAGGCATCGAGGGAATGGCCTCTGCTCTCAAGATTTTAGTTATTGTCACCGATGTCAGTGCACATGCTTTGGCTGGGATTTAGTAATGACGAGGCAAAAAATAGCCGCCATCTATATGTAGCCATCTACACCTCTCTGGGTGCCCAGTTTTTTGTTCTGAAGCCCTTCATCAGCTGTCAGTCTCTGGGAATCCTCCCCAACCTCCACAAACCAGGATTTTTGAACCTTTTCCACTCAGGAGAACCTGACATTGAAAAGGCCACACAGTGTGCCTGAGGCCACAAGCTAGGAAGTAGCAGAGCAAGATTTGAACCTGGGCCTGTTGACGCCAGAACCTGCCTGCATGATCTGAGCTCAGCATGTTTGCAGTGTGCTGTTTGCTCACTGCCACTGAGGGATGCAGCCCTGCATTCTATCTTGTGAGCTGCAGCATTGATACAAAAACCTCCCCTGTCTGCTGTTTTGTTTTCTGTGGTTTCTGTTACCTACATCAACCTCAGTCCAAAAATATTAACTGAAATTTCCAGGAAAAAAAAACAAACACAAGTTTAAAACTGTGTGCTATTGTGGGAAGTTTGATGAGATCTTGCACCATTCTGCCTGGGAGGTAAATTGTCCCTTTGATCAGTGTATCCATGCTGTATATGCTACCTGCTCTATATTCACTCACTAGCCTGAGTTTTCACCTGTCTGGCATTACACCTGTCTGGCATTACAGGGCTTGCATTCAAGTAATCCTTATTTTGCCAAATAATGACCCAAAGCACAAGAGTAGTGATGCTGGTGGTTTGAATTTGCCAGAGAGAAGCTGTGAAGTGATTTCTTTAAGTGAAAAGATGAACATTTTTAAGGAAAAAAAAAATTGTAACCTCTTATCATATATTGTTACAATTGTTCTATTTTAGTTTCTTACTGTATCTAATTTATAAAACTTTATTTGTAACTGCATACAGGAAAAAGCAGCATATACAGGATCAGGTACTGTTGTTGGTTTCAGGCATCACTAGGGGTCTGGGCACATAACCTGGACACAAGGAGAATACCGTAACTATTTGCCGGCTCTGTGGGTACATCAGCATGTTCAGCCTGAATAGCCAAGACGGAGAGCCGGTGAGCTCCCAGGTGGTCGGATGGACCACACACCTGAGCCGTGCCCACCATGACTAGATACAGTAAGACGACAGCTCCCGCCTGCCACTTCACTTGATTCAGATTGTTAACCTTTCATTCCACAACTTTTTTTTTTATTGGTTCTTTTTAGTTACATCTGACAGAAGAATCCATTTTCACATAATTATACAAGCATGGAATAGATCTTGTAATTCAGACCCCAGCACTTCTCCTTCCCTCCCTCTCCCCACTCCCTGCTCCTTCCCCTTTACTGATCTTTCTACCATTTATGCATAACCACAACTTGTTTAAAATTTTGAATATTTTTACTGCAGTAAGACCACATGACATCTACCATTTTAACAAATTATGGCACGTCTATAACAATACATACGGTATTGTTGGTTGCAGGTACAGTGTTGGACAGCACGCCCCTAGAACTTAAAGGAAACTGCCCCTGGAGTAGTTGCCCCATTTCTCCTCCCACTCCTGTGCAGACACTGTTGCTGCCTGATTCCCCACATGAGTGGACTCATGCCGTGTTTGTCCTGATGCTGGCTTATTTCACTTAGGGCATTCTTAGGGTGCAGCCCACTTGTCACATGTTGCAGCCGTTCACCATTTTTTAAGGCCAGAGAGTATTCCATGGTATGTGTAGGCCATGTTTCTTTATGCATCCATCTGTGGACCCAGTAGGTGGTTTCCACATCTTGGCCATTCTGATAGTGCCACAGTAAACACAGGTGTGTGCTCAAAGCTCTTCAAGCACCTGCTTTCTTTGGGGCATATACCTAACCACAGGATTGCTAGATCATGTAATTCTATTTTCAAGTTGTGTGTTTTTTGCTTGTTGGTTTATTTTTTGGTGGAGGGGGATGTAACAGGGATTGAACTCGGGCACGACCACTGAGCCACATATTCAGCCCTATTTTATATTTAGAGAGAGGGTCTCACAGACTTGCTGAGCACCTAGCTTTTGCTGAGGCTGGCTTTAAACTTGCAATCCTCCTGCTGCAGCCTCCCTAGTCACTGGGGTTCCAGATATGTGCCTTTTAAGTTTTTGATGAACCTCAAAACTGTTTTCCATAGTGACTGTGCCATTTTACATTTCTACCAACAGTGTTCAGGACTTTTTAAAAGGATGACTTGAAAAGCTTTGGTTCACTTCATTTGCTTAGAACTAAGTAGTTTTCAACCAGATAAAGTACCTGGCCTGTTTCATGTTCCTAATGCACAGGTGGGTGTTCCCCAGGCTGGCCTCCTTTCCTCTACCGACGGTGAGCTTTTGGAGCATTCTGAAGCATTCTGCTTTGGGTTCAGTCTGTCAGTCTCTTGGTGGCCCACTCTGTCTGTAGAACAATCTTCTTTATGTACTTGAGCTGACACATTTCATTTAATGACATTTGGCTAGGCAAATAAAGTATATTTGACCCAGGAAGTTTGGCATCATAGTTTCAGGCTCTCCCCCCTTTTTTTTTGGTACCCGGGTCTGAACTTGGGGGCACTAGACTCCTGAGCCAGATCCCCAGCCTTGTTTTGTTTTGTATTTAGAGACAGGGTCTCGCTGAGTTGCTTTCAGACTTCACTGTTGCTGAGGTTGGCTTTGTACTTGCAGTCCTCCTGCCTCAACCTCCTGAGCCCCTGGGATTTCAGACATACCCCACTGTGCCCGGCTCAGGGCCTAATTTTGATTCAACTGCAGTTTGTAAGTATCAGAACATCATCATCCTCAATTTTCTGACATTGATCATGGATGTTGCAGCAGGGAGACTTCTCTTATCCTTCCTTTCCTTGTGAGAAGGTCCAGCCATATGCCCAGCAAGGTGTCCAGGTCCTAAGCTTCCCTTGTTCAGTCTGTTCCACAGATATCTTTGATCTGGGAATTGAGATGTGCACAAGAGGAAGGGACCTCACTTCAGAAGACAGATTTGATAATTAAACACATGTTTAACACTGATCGCAAAGAACTGCAGGGATCTCTGAGAGCCCCAGGGGAGGTCTCTGAAAAAGTGCTGCTGAGCTGAGAGTTGAAGGAAGAGGCATAAGAGGTTAACCAGGTGCAGGGGGAGGGGAGGGCATAGCGAGGGTAAAGGCCTTGAGGTGAGGAGGAGTGCTGTGCACCAGAGGTGCTGCCCCCAGGAGATGCCAGAGCTTGGAGGAGGGCGAGCAAGCGAGCTTGGGGAGGCACAGGGCCCAGGACCCATCGGTTTGCATCTGTCTCCTTTTTTTTTTTTTTGTCACCAACGTTTCTTATTTCCCTTTCGGTTCTTCTCCCGGCCCTTATGTCTGGCTCCTTTGCTCGAGAGCCTTATTTAATGATATGTGCCTCTTACAATGAACCAGCCCATAATAGTTCACAAATACTCGGAATAAAGTCTGTATGTTATGCTTATTTCAGAGAAGTGGAAACTGAGGCTCAAAGCAGTTTGAGGGTCATCAGCTGCTAAGTGGCCTGCCAGGATCTCCTCTCTGCCGCCATCTTGGCTGCCTCCCATCTTGGCTTCCTGGGACTCAGTCATTTGGTTCTTGGGTATTCCTTTTCCTAAGGAGTGTGGCGGGGTGGAAGGTTCCTGCAGTCCAGAGACCCAGGGGACCTGCTGCTGGTGGAAGCCAGCTGGGTGCCCCTTGGGACCCACCTTCTTGGTGTTTGGTTGCTCTGCCTGGGAAGTGTCTTGCCAGGGGAAAGTGGGGAACCTTTTCCCCTGAAAGTGCCATCTGTATCCAGGACCTTCCTTCTTTAAAAAAATTCTGTATACCTCAGTTGGCATTGAGCCATCGAAGTGCCTTTTTTTTTTTTTTAATGTCAACCACTGAAGCAGGAGTGTCACATGGGAAACTTGCCTGTATGCATATTGAAAATAACCCCTCACCCTTCGGTTGTGAGCAGAAGCTCACAGAAGTGGCTCCCTACAAACCTTGAATTCCACGTTACTCTTCGTTCCACCTCTTTGAAGGTGTGTGGAATGGTCCCCCATGAGGGGTCATAGCATTTGGTTGAAAGTAAATTACTAGAACATTCAGATTGTTATTCCCAGGGTAGATCCTTAAATAAAACGTCTTGAACATCCTCACAGCAGGACAAAGTAGCCTAATTAGGAGCTGTGAGTAGAGGCGCGTGGCGCCAAGTTGCCTGTGGAGACCAACTGAGTGGAGCAGCCAGGGCGCAGTTCCATAGGTGTTAACCCTATACAGAAGCCTGTCCCCACCCCAGGCACCGCCATGCTGCGCGCGTCCTGCCAGTCAGCCACTCTGCCCGGCTCAGCTCTTGCTGTGCTCCATACCTGCTTCAGGATGGTTGACTGCAGGGGTGGGGTGGGGGGACAGGGGACATGCCTCTGAAGACATTGTCCACGGTTAGCAATGTCTCCTGGAGCCAGACTGCTGGGGCTCAAATTTCGGGTCACGTGCCCTCCCTGCAGCTCACTTCCTGTCTGTGAAATTGGGGTTCACAGTGGTATCTTGAAGAGCTCCAGGAGCTGTCCTTATTTATTTTGTCCTGCTCTGTGCTGGGGAGACCAGCCTCTGGGGACCGTGTCCCCCGGCCAGCCTTCCTCCCAGCTTCCACCTGTTTACAGTAGGAGGCACTGCTGAGATTGGAGGGCAAGGTTGGGGTATCCGTCCCCCCATGCTCACGGGCCATGCTTCTTGGCAGTGGCTTTGTTCTTCCACCAAAGGCCACATCTGTGCCAGATGGCTTCCCCCAGCTGAGGCTGTGCAGGTCCAGCAATGCCACACCTGCTTCCCTCACCCTGAGGATGCGACCAGCAACCCCCACACTCCCTCCCCCTGACCCCCGTCCCAAGTGTCCAGACCCTGGGGCCTCACCTTGGTTGCCAGCTCCCTGCACAGTGGCCCTGGTTTTCAGGTAGATACTCCTTCGTTCAGCCTTCCTCATTCAACCTGTCGAATGTGCCCCCTGTGTCCGGCTGGGCCCCAGGTGATGTGGCTGGATGGAGGGCGGGTTGGGCTGCGCGGGGACACTGGGCTGTATTCCTTGTGGGATGAGGCAGCTTTGGCAATTCTGGGGAAGAGCCACGTGACCCCACACCTTTTGGAACTAAATTGAACTTGTTCCCTGTCACATCACGACCAAAAAACGATTCTGGAAACAGGCCGTTAAGTGACAGGTAGCTGCTTTCAGTTCCTTGGGCCTGAACGGGAGGCTCCCCGCTGGTTCTCAGGCAGCCAAGTGCTGATCCATGGGGTGAATGGCCCCCTGTCACCCTCTCTGTTTTGCTCACCCTGCTCCTGGGTGGCGCAGCCCACGTGAACTAACTGGCACATTAATCCCCCCACAGCTGCTGGGGGAGGGGCTTTGGGTGTCTGGGGTTTTGATTTGGTTTGGGTTTTTCCTTCCTCCCGCTTCGTACCTAGGCTTATTTATCCTGGTTCTCCTCTCCACCAGGATCATCCTGAACACGGGGTCCTGTTTCTTGTTCGAGAGCTTCTCAATGTGATCCAAGACTACACCTGGGAGGACAGCAGCGATGACAAAATCCGCATCTACACTTGTGTCCTGCACCTGCTGTCCGCCATGAGCCAGGAGACATACCTGTACCACATCGACAAAGGTAGCGGGGTCCCCTCCCTAGCCACGCAGTCCTTGAAATTCAGAAAGGCCATTTCAGTGTCTCCCTCACATCTCCCTGGTCTCTCATCTACCGTGTCCTCCTCGTCCAGGGCTTCACTGAATTATTCTGGGACTTGCCTGAGTCAACTCACGAGTTGAGATTTCTGAGCCCCCTCCTGTCCCTTCTAAATAGAATCCCCAAGAAGAGACTCTGTTTAACAAGCATCTGAGATCATCTTGACCATCAGATGAGCGTTAGATGGACGTGCTGTAGGACAACCTGATGGTGGCGACATGCGCACGGGGACCAGCTTCTCCCAGCCTGTTGCTCCCCGTCTGGGCAGGACCCTCGGGAGAGTGTTTGTAACCTGCACAGGTGATGCTGAGGCCCTGTGCACCCTTAGTCCCAGGTGCTGAGGAGACCCTTGTTCCCCACCTGCTTCTGGCCATCTTCCTGATTGTTGAGTGCTTTGGCCTATGATTGGGAATGCTAAGGTTTTAAAAAAGTGTCATTGTGCTTGGAAACTGCAGTGGACAAACTTGTGGTGCTAAGGGGTGGCCTTCTGTGATGACCTCAGAGGCACTCTAGCTGGGATTGGGGGGCTGCTGATAGAAATGTAACGGGCCAGTTAATCTTTTAAAGATGGCTATAGTGACCAGAGCGCCTTACTGCTGCCAGGCCCTGCGCCAGAGCCCACAGCCTCTCCTCCTTCAGTCTTCATGGTGCTGCCGTGAGATGTTCTTGTCCCCTCTTTACATATGAACGAGGGGAGCCCCAGAGACACACGTGATCTGCTCTCAGGCTCCTGGCTAGGTAGCCATGGAAGTGAGTCCACACCATACCCGGGGGCCTGTGTTACTATGCTTCAATTCAAGGTAATGTTCCTACAGAAACAGTGATGCTCAGTGAGTTACAGGAAGTGCACATGCCCAGGTAGCCTCACCCAGATCAGGAAACAACACGACAAGCTCCCCTGGAGCCCCTGTGGCCGTTCCAGCCAGCACCACAGACCAGCACCACTCTCACTACTGGTCTTACAAGGTAGCAGTTTTTGAGTCCCATGTAAATGACATCACTCTGCAAGCGTCCCTCAGTGTCTGATGTGCTAGGTGAAGCTTGTCGTGCGAGCCTGCAGCTGCTCCTCTTTGCAGGACTGTAGCATTCCGCAGTACCGATGCACTATGGTTTCCCCCACCCCTTATGGTGGCCACCTCCTGGTTCTTATGTGGGACCACCGTGTGTGATGCTGCCACGGATGTCCTGGCACCACATGCCGTGGATGTTAGAGGACATTTCTCTCGGGTACACGCCTGGGATTGGGGTTGCTGGCTCATGAGTTTGCTTATTTTCGACTTTGGTACAAACTACCTCAAGGTCTTCCAGAATGGGCAGTTGACATTCCCACTGGCATAGAGGAGGGTTCCATTCATTCTATTGATAGGGTCCTTTTCAGCTTAGCCATTTTGATGAGTGAAGTTTGCATTTCTCTGGTGGCGAATAAGGTTGAGCATCTTTTCTTGGATTTGTTTACATTTTTCTTCTCCCCTTTGTGACATACATGGAAAGCACTGAACGACACAGGAAGTTTTAGGGCCAGGCGGGGCCTGTGTACCTGTCGGAAGCAGGCTGCACCCCGCCCTCTCGCTCCCTTCCTTCAGTGGTTGTCCCAGGGTAGACGGCCAGGCCCGAGTGGCAAAGGGAGCAAGGCTGTACTTGACAGGCAGGAGTCTTGTTTACTAGCTTTTTAAAGATGCAAAGGGTGGATCTTCTTTCCCTCCTCCTCAGCCCAGCTGTGTTTACTCTGGCTGCACAATCCTGACCTGACAAGTGTCTTAGTAGAAGAGAGACCCAGGAAGCCAGCAGGCTCTGCGGGGTTGGGGACTCTGTTTTCCCTGCTTCCCTCCCTGTTCTAGGCAGTCTTTTACACAACATTGACTCAATTTTTGAAAGATCATTTTTGCATCAACAAAGGATAACTTGGCTGCTTTCTTTGCAGATTAATAAAAAGAACATTCTGACATTACCTACAGCAGTAGCTCCAGTCCTTCAGGCCAGCTTGCAGGAGTGTGGGTGTGATGTAGAAATGAAGTCTGTTCCTGGATGCTGGGTGTCCATTTGTGGAGCATTGTCGTTGCTGGAAGAGTACACCCAGGTCTTCACTCTTCCACGTCACCCGCCAGGCTCTTAAAGCATTTGTGTTCATGATCTCTGGGTCAGAGATCATAGGCTATTCTTGGTGGCCATTTGCGGGGGACATTTCTCCCTCCCCTCCCCCAGAGCCATGTCTAGACTCACAGCCCCATTCAACACCCTGCCCTGACCAGATTAATTTTGATTTGCAAACCCATCCTCTTCTCTCTCCCTCTGTGACTGCCAGATGTTAGCACAGATAAACCTCCCTCCCCCGCTTTTTTTATTTTTTTTAAACTCTAGTGAATTGCCTTCAGAGCCTCTCACTGATTCCACAGTCCATCCAAAGCCCAGATTTGTGGATCCCATGATCCCTGAACTGCCCCTGCTGGCACTCGGCACTCCCTGTATGCTTGCCTGCTTGTTGTCTGTGTGGCCTGAGGGCTGTGTGCTCCTCTGCAAGGGCAACACCAGTTGCTCTTGTCCCGACTGCAACTCCAGTTCTTAGCTCAGGAGTTGGTGCAGAGCAGGCTCTTTCCGTAGATGCTGTGTGTGGGAGAGTGGCTGAACCACCTGCTCTGAACACACCCTGGCCCCTCCCTCTCCTCCAGAGCTGGGCTGATCAGAATTCGAGCAGACTCATCCCAGAGGGAGACTGGGAATTCACACCAGAACTATTCTGGCTCTCAGCAGCAGACATGAGAAATTTCTTCTTCAACTGCAGTTTTGCCACTCTATAAATCCAACTCAGATTCTTCTCGTAGCTGCCGCCTTTCGAGTCCAAGACAGCAGCTGAGCTCAGCAGTGGGAGCTACCTCAAACCCCGGGCTTACCCTGCAGCCCATGCCAGTCACTTCCAAGAACATCATGAGTACCTGCTAAGGAAGCAGTCAGCCTGGAGGTCCCCAGGAGGTCCCCAGGAGGTCCCCCTGGATGACCAGCGCAGGATCAGATCAGATCATCTCTGCCTGCAGACAGAGGAGTCGAGGAGCAAGGAGGCCAGCGGGCTCTCATTCTTAAGCAGTGTGTCTACAGCTTGCCTTCGAATGGTTCAGCCGAAAAAAGTGGCCAGCCAGCCGGGAGCTGGCACACCGTAGCCGAATGTTATGGCTTGGTGATTCTCAGAAGCAGGCAGATCCACTGCAGTGGGGTTTTTCTGCTGTTCTATAGCCTTGACATTTTTCAAAATAAAAGGCTGGTGAACATCTGTTGTTCCTCAAATGTCAACTGGCAATGAACAGAAAGCGGCCCTGGAACTATTTGCCATCAGATAGCTAACTGACGTGTGCTTACACCTGCCCATTCCCCCAAAAGATTCAAGGAAGCTTCCAGGAAATACACAAGATAATGAAATGTAATTTAAATTAGTTCCTAGGAAATTATAAATTGGGAAATATATATGTACTTGTTTATTTGCTATATGTAGGGGCTTTGCTATGTGTGCTGTTTGGTTCCTTTAATATATTGTAGCTCTTAGTAATCTGTTTAGATGATATAGATCATGTGCTTTTATCGTCTCCGTGGTGCCTTAACAGTACCACAAAGCATTCAAATTGGTGGACTTTTTTTGCTTCTCCTCTCATTACGATAACCACCAGTTTAAGGAGCATTATCTTTGAACATCTGTTGGCTTATTTTCTTAAGAAGATTTTTTTTTTATTGGTGAATCACAATCATACATAATAGTGGATTCATTGTTACATATTCATAAACAATATTTCTTAGGATAAATTTCTTGGAATGATTTTCCTAAGTCAGAAGAGCTAGACTTGTTAAGACTTTTTCCTTTAACATTTTTTATTGATAAAAGGTGCATAACATAAAGCTGATTTGTGTACTTAATAATTTTATCAAGTACATACACACTTACCATCACCATTATCCATTTCCAGAGTTTTTAATCTCAACTGAAATCCTGTACCAAGTATTAGCTCACCATTCCTCCCAGCCCCCGGCCCCTGGTGACCTCTGTTCTACTGTATCAATATGAACCTGCCTGTTCCAGAAACCTCCTGTGAGAACTGTGAAGTGTTGTCCTTTTGTGTCCGGCGTATTGCCCTGAGCTATAGCCAGTGTCAGTTTCATTCCCTTTTAAGGCTGATTGATCTCATTGGATGTGCCACATTTTATTTATCCATTCATCTTTTGATACACTTGAGTTGTTTCCACCTTTTTTTGGTGTGGGGGGGTGTTACTAGGGATTGAACTCGGGGCCATTCAACCAATGAGCCACTCCCCAGCCCTATTTTGTGTTATAGACGGGGTCTCCCTGAGTTGCTTAGGGGCCTCGCTGTTGCTGAGTCTGGCTTTGAACTCGCGATCCTCCTGCCTCAGCCTTCGGAGCCACTGGGATGACAGGCGTGCGCCACTTCACCTGTTTCCACCTTTTGGCCAGAGTGAATGTGAGCATTGGTGTTAAGAGTCCCAGCTTTCGGTTCCTGGGGGCATTTATCTGGGCTAGGAATTGCTGGTCCCATGGTAATTCTGTGTTTGACTGTTTGAGGACTGAGATGTTTTCCACGGCAGCGTCACCCTGTTATAATCACCACCAGCCAAGCACCGGGTTCCAGTTTCTTCACTTTCTCACCAACGCTTGTTGTCCATGTTTTAACTTAAAATTTTTTTTTTAATTATAATCATCCTAATGGTATGTAGCAGTAGAGGAAATTCTTCAGGCTTTTCATAATAATTTTTCAACTATTACAATTCCACCAATAGTTTTCCCAGATTCTTTCAAACCTTTGTTCATCTAAATGATTTTTCTCTAAAAATTCTTTTCTGTGTGTGTTGCGGGGGCGGGCACTGGGAATTGAACTCTGGGGCACTTGACCACTGAGCCACATCCCCAGCCCTATTTTGTATTTTTTAAAATTTAGAGACAGAGTCTGAGTTGCTTAGTGCCTCGTTTTTGCTGAGGCTAGTTTTGAACTTGTGATCCTCCTGCCTCAGCCTCCTGAGCCTCTAGGATTTATAGGTGTGCACCACCACGCTGGGCTAAAAAAGTTGTTCTTTGATTACTAATGAAGTTGATTTTTCTTTTTGAAATTTTTGGCTTATTCCTTATTTGGATTTTTTTTTTTTCTTTTTAAAAGTTGCCTCTTTTTTTCCCACTTAAATATTGTCCACATAAATGTATTTTTTATTCAGATGATTGAGGTATTTGCCAGTTTTCCTATTAGGGTCACCTTAAAAGCTCAGAAGCCATCCCTGAACACTGTACTTTCGCTTTTTCTTGGTCCTCTTGGAGGGGTCTGTTGGACATGACCCATTTCTGTTGCTGGTAGCCAGCAGTCGGGTGACTTTCTCCGCAGACGCCTGCAGATGGCTGGACCACAACAGGACCACCCACCGCAGCTCCCTTTCAGCCTTCCCTTCTGCAAGTGAGACTGCGCCGTTTGTCCTTCCCTGTCCGGCTTCACAGGCCCTCCTGTGTTTCTTACATTGTCTTGTGAACTGTGGCACAGAATCCTTCCCACGTTATCCTAAGAGTAATGAAATGAGGCAAGAAAAGCAGCACCCATTACATTCCAGCAGAGAAGCGCTGGCCGCGCTTGGTGTATGCAGTGTCCCTGCACCGCGGAGCTGCAGCGTCCTTGGCACAGTGGCTGCACCGCGCCCTCCTAAGGCACAGGCATGGCTGCTAGTTTATCAGATGTCCCACATCTGGCACAGTGGCCTAAATCGTAGGCTCCTGCCTCACTGGAAGTAGCAGGAGCTGCCCCTGCACTTCCTCCTGACCGCTGAGCCCTGCCCCGGCTCCAGGACTGCACAGCACCGAGTGCCCACACTGACAGGCTGTGCCAGGAGAGCGCCGCTCACACACCCTGGAGAGAAGGGGAGAAGCCCCCCGTGTGGAGGGAAGCGTGAACTCCCGCAAGGCAGAGGCCGTGGTTCATTGTGGACTTCAGCTTTGTGGCCAGCTGGTGCCAAGCTGCGAGGAAGCGGGGCTGGGCTGGGCGTGGGTAGCTCAGGGGTAGAGTGCTTGCTTAGCACGACCAAGGCCCTGGGCTCCATCTCCAGCCCCGCAAAAGAATGTCGTGTTTGCAGCAGGGGCCGACTGAATAGGTTCTGGTCTGTCGTACAGAGGAACATGCTCAGCCATTACAGGGCTGAGCTGACACCAAGTAGCTCCAAGATTTATCAGTAAGTGAAAAGCCAAAGTGCAGAATGGCTCAATGTGGTGTCTCTGCCCTTCCCTTACCCAGAGGAGACCGCGCCTTGCGTGAAGGTGAGTGATGGGAAGGAGACAGGAGCCCACTCTCGGGCTGTCCTTGGCTGTGTGGGACAGTGGTTGTCACCAGAGGTGACCAAGCAGAGAGTAGAGGACTTTTTGGCAAGAGACATCGTCAAAGTGATGTGGGCTTTGAAAGAATCTGACCTGGAGAACTTAATGGCGGTCAAGGTGCTTCTGGTTGCGCCAAGACGGGGGCCTACAGGGGACTGGCGACACCATAGTGGCTGAGCCTGTGTCCCGTGTCCTTCCCTTTGCTGACTTCCTAGTTATTCCTAGTTAAGGGTCTTGGCTGGGACTGCCTCTGAGCCCATCCGTGAGGGGAGGTGACGCGCATCTCGTTCACATGCAGCTTTTGAGGCTGTGCAGTGACACGGGTGAAGCCCTTAGTGGGCAGGCAGCTGCTGCCTCCCTCTCCACCCAAGGTCTGGAGCCGGGGTGACTTCCACACCCCCCGGGCTGTGGCACAGATTCTTCTCAAGGCCAAGTGCTTGTGATGCCCAAGGCCCATGGGAGAATTTGACCATTCCCATTTGCCCTGCCATGATTTGCTGCCATCTGCTGAAACCGTGTGACACTTGGCTGTTCCTCCTGCTGGCCACAGACCTGGGTTGGTCTGGCTGCCTTTTTAAAAATTTCCTTTTGCCCACATGCTGGGGATCCAAGCAGCGCTTTGCACTGAACCCATCCCCCTGCCCCTCTCTGTCTCTCTCTCTCTCTCTCTCACGCCGGCCCAGTGGACTCCAACGACAGCCTCTACGGGGGAGACTCCAAGTTCCTGGCTGAGAACAACAAGCTGTGTGAGACTGTGATGGCCCAGATCCTGGAGCACCTGAAAACCCTGGCCAAGGACGAGGTAGGTTTCCCAGGAAGTTTGATGATGGAAGGGAAACCGTTGCACCCAAGTTGTGTTCACACAAACACACTTCCTCTAGCACTCCAGGGCCTGCACGCCTGTCTTCTCTGCATGAACCACACCTACTCTGGGCTTCCCCTTCTCATCATCCTGATCTGACACCTTCAGAGGCCCCCCCTTCCCACGTAGCCAGCACCCACCTGCCCCCCTGTGGACTGCCTCTGCTTCCACACCCCTGCCCCCCCCCACTTGAGGGAAGCTCTGTGGGAGCAGGGACCTGCTGTGCCAGGATGACCAGATGTCTCGGGCCTGACCTCTGGGTCCACCCGTCACTCATCTTACCATCCCTCACACAAGCCCATCTTACCATCCCTCACACCAGCAGGACGTGGTGAAGGACTAACTCCCACTCCCGAGCTCTCCTGTGTGCATGCTGGCCCGACAGGCGTTCTCACTAACCAAAAGGAAAACTGAGGCACAGGGAAGTTCATCCAGAAATCCCTGGGGTTCTGATAGGACAGGTCTAACCCGCACCCCAGGCCATCCTCTTTAGTACTCTCTGCCCTGCCCAGCTAAGGCCTGGCCACCTACCTTCAAGGAGTGGCGCGGTCTCTAATGACAACAGGAGGTGTTTCCAGCCTGGCGTTACCCTTAAGTGTGATGTCGTGGGTTTGCGTGCTGGCTTCATTTCTCACAACCGTCCTCTAGAGGAGAAAACTGAATCCTACAGCAGTAGCTATGGGATTCCTCAAGGCAGTTTTCTGGAAGCCATGCTCTTATCCATGAAATGGGTTGTTATCAGATGCTGTGGCCACTTTCAGAACATGTGTCCCTTGTCCTCCACAAAGCAGATGATTGAGTTCAGGAGTTTCCATATAGTATGACCTCATCAGCTGCCTGGCTCCCTTCACAAGTTACACCCACTGTGGCTTCTGCTTTTGTACCCTTGGTCCAGATGTGTGGATCCCACAAGCCCTGTCTCAGCCCAGCCGTAACACTTGGCCAGGTACAGACTAGTCTGTCATTGTGGTCAAGGTGGAGGCGCAGGGGTTGACAGCACCACAGAATCTGATCTGCTCTCTTGCCCACCCCTCGTCCTCCCCTGGATTGGCAGCCTGGCCCTGACCTTCCGCTCCCTGTGATCTTCCAAGCCTTGGTCTTCTGCTCTGAGCTTTTATTCCCACCTAGATGTCGCCCGATGGCCCACTCCTGACCTCATCCTGCAGGAAAAACCTGTTGTCCCTTGCAACACCCCCTCCCCACACCCGAGAGGATTTTGGCTCCTCTGTTCCCAGGGGCTTCCCACCCTCCTCCCCTCCCTCCTGCCTGCCTTCCCACCCCGTGTCTTCCTAGAGTCTCTTTCCCAGGTTTTGCTCCTATACCCTTTTGAAGTTGTCCAGTTTGAAGAAAAAACAAGCTCAAACTGGATTTTCTTACTTCCAAGCTGTATGCAGTGACACTCCTGCCATGTCCTTTCCCGAACCACCAAAATACATAGCTGCAGCTGCACACCTAAAACGCAGTCCCATCCCGCTGCCTGCGGGGATTGGTTCCAAGACCTCACGAAGGTACCAGTCTTCAGATGCTGCTGTCCCCCCTTGTGTAAGCTGCATAGTACTTGCATGTCTCCTACACACGTCTTCCTATATTCTTCAATCCTTTCTAGATTACTTGTAATATATAACAACATGTAAATGCCATGTAAATACCTTGTTAGGGTTCTCTAGAGGAACACAATGAACAGGAAATATAAAAGGGGGACTTACAAGATTGGCTTACACAACCAGAAGCTGGATAGTCCCCAGCAGCTGTCTGCAGGCTGGAGAGCTGGAGGAACTAGGAGCTGTGCAGTCCCAGAGGCTGAAGCCCCAGAACAGGTGGGATCAAGGTGCTACCCTAGGCTGAGACCAAAGGCTTCTGGAGAATCACTGCAGAGTCCTCTTTAGAAGAGTGAAGAAGCGAGAGTCTGATATCCTCAGACAATCACAGCAGCAATCAAGAACCAGTTTAAGAAGAAAGGAGCTTGCACCTGTTGCTGCTTCCTTGTTCTTCCAACTTTATTCCATCCAAGCCATCATCCTATAGGATGGTGCTGCCCACACTTAGGGAGGGTCTCCATTTCAGTAGGCTACCCCACATGCCAGTCATTCCTAGACACCCTCATTGACACACCCATAAGCCCATTAATCCTTGGCATTTCTTAATCTAATGAAGTTGACAATTCAAATTAGCCATCACATACCTGTCGTACTGTTCAGGGAACTACAGGAAAAAAATATGCGTCTAGTACAGTGGCAATTTCTTTTTTCCTGAATGTTTTCCATCTGGGATAGGTTGGTTCTACCAGTGCATGCCCTGTGGACCTGGCAAGATGACTATGACTCACATCTTGGATTTCCATTCTCTCCAGAATATTTGAGCACTGCCTGAGGGACCAGCCTGTTAGCAGTACAGAGTCCAAGAGCCCAAAAAATTTTAGAAAAACTTCTACTGGGGGCTGTAAGTGCCTCAGGGCACCTCAGAGGGCCATCTCTAGGGAGGAAGGCAGGCAGAAGGGTCCCCTGCTGACCCCAAGGGCTCTGGGCTGCAGAGCCCAGAACTCCAGGCAAGTTCATGCAAGGGATGCCTTGGCTGTCTGTGAATAAAGAAGTGTTGGCACCCCACTTGGAAAACAGGTCTAACAAATCTGTATGAGAGGGGCAATTCAGCCACCAAGAACTCTCCTGGCCTCTATGCAGAAGGGAGCCCTCTGTACCCTGCAGGAGAAGTGGGTACTTCTTTACTTTCGGTTTATGCTAAACTAATTCTCTCCTTACCACCACCACAGAATTCTTAATCTTTTCCTGATTTCTCAAAACCAGTTGCTACCTCTGTCTTCTAGCCCAGTGACCTCTTAGCACAAGATGAGTCACATCCACACGAGATTCTGCCATGTGGTTTGAAAATATTCCTTCACCCTCAGGAAGTGGGCTGAGTTTAATCAGTAGAAACGACCATGGCCCTGAAACCCACCCCAGCTCAATGAAAATAAGCCCCAGACCATGTATTTGGATAAAAGTAACATTTGTCTTAGGCGAGTGAGTGAGCTGATGGCAAGAACTCTCAACTCTGAGCAAAGCTGGGCTGTTCCTGCAAACATCTCATCTGACATAAAAATCAAGACACTCATGGAAAATGTGTCTGTGTGTGTTTATTAGAAAAACATGGGTAGACCAAACTGAAATTGAACACATCCTTTACCAATGCCACATAATGTTCAATAGGGACAACTATCAGAATCCTCCAGTGGTCACACCAGGAGCCAAGCCAAGCAGAGGCCCACTGTTGGAAACCCCAGTGCCCAAGCTGTCCCCGGCACTGCTAGAATTCCTGCTTCCAGAATTGTCCTCCGTGGGCATGTGAAGGAGCCAGCCCCTTTTCTGTCTGGAGCCTTACGAAGTTGGCTGTGGTGGAGCCAGGAAGGCTGCCAGGCTCTCCCCACTTCCTGGAAGTGACAGTTCTCACAGGAAAAGCGGCTCTTTCCTATCTCAAGCCTCTGGAGAACGGGGGTCAGCCTGGTCCAGCTGTAACACTGCTTGTCCGAAGCTGGTCCTCCCAGGTTTCCAGTGATGTGACTTCAACGGACTGGTGTTAAAACCTTGAGAATTGAGCCTTCAGGGCTACAATCCTTGAGGAATTATGCAATAGCCAGCCAAGAAGATAATGCATGCCTTTTTTAATTTCTTAAAAAAATCTTCCCTTGCTGTATTGAAATGTGGTTGAAGGGATCTCAGGAGACTCTTTTGGCAAGGTCTTTGTGTAGCTTGATTCATTTGGGGCAGGACCCATGCAGGTGGCTTCTCCTTACCAAGGTGTCACCTCCTCTCCTGTTGGGCTAGGGTACTATGGCATGACCCAGTCCTCCATGAGGCCCTTTGAGTCAGCTAAGCTGCTGACCATGATGCCCACTGTGGTCTCTGTCATGGGTAGGCTGATGGGGCAGAGTTGGCGAATGAACAAGGTCCTTGCTAGACCTGTCGTGAGCCCCAGTGCAAGGCTGTAACCATCTCCACCCTTTCTCCCCCCCCCCCCCCAGGCCCTGAAGCGCCAGAGCTTGCTGGGCCTGTCTTTCTTCAACAGCATCATAGCCCACGGGGACCTGCGCAACAACAAGCTCAATCAGCTGTCGGTCAACCTGTGGCACCTGGCACAAAGGCACGGCTGTGCAGACACCAGGACCATGGTGAGGCACTCATGGGCCCAGCATCAGCATGGTGTCAGGGCTGGACCTAGACTGCCCCTGTCTCCCCTTTCAGAAGGGCACCGGGATCTCAGGTTTTAGCACCAAAAAAAAAAAAAAGACCAGGCCTGAGAATTCCTAGTGTTAAAAAACATGAATTTATAGGTGGTAACTTTCAATTAAAAACCAACTCAAGTTTTTAATATGGGTGGTTTGTTTACTCCTTATAAAAACCTCATCCATTAAAATCTTCTGTCATTCCTGGTCACACACAAATCCTGAATTTTAAGGGCAATTCATGATGTAAGAAGTTTTACTTTAAAGACTCCTATTTCCCCCCACTCCTGTTCTCTAAGCGCGCACTGGCAGGCCACTAGAGAACTGGGCTGCCAGGAGAGTTAGGAACCAAAAATGAGACAATCTTTTTCTTCTTAGGTGAAGACTCTAGAATACATCAAGAAGCGAAGCAAACAGCCAGACATGAACCATCTGACCGAGCTAGCCCTGAGGCTCCCACTGCAGACCAGGACCTAACCCAGTGCACCTGTGGCAGCTCCCTCGGCAGAGAGCAGCTGTATTGCCCGAAACTCCTGCCGGGATCTGAGTCTCCTTTTTACTTTCTTTTCATTTACACACAGGTTGGCTTAAGCTTTGGCCTCGCCCCAGGTTATTCTGACAGTGAAGCTGAGGGAATCATCAGAGCATTAAAATCAAATCTCGCCCTCCTGGCATCGTGTTTCTTTGCACAAGTGAAGTGGCCTTTCGGTTTCGCAGTAAGCACTAGGGAGGCCCAAATGGCCTTTAGGGAGTAACAAAGGGATGCAAGGACTTTCTTTCCTGGAATATGCTTCTGGTGTTTCATAAAATAACTTGGAAAAAGCAGTCCTCCGGGGGAGGGGGGGTATTGAGGATTGAGCCCAGGGGCACTTGACCACTACATTCCCAGCCCTTTTCATTGAGACAGGGTTTTGCTACATTGTTTAGGGCCTCAGCTGCCGAGGTTACAGGTGTGCATCACTGTACTGCACCACACTGTACCCTCGAGTTAGAGAAGCACTAAAATCTGAATTGAATGTTGCCTAAAACACCTCGGAAGACTTAGGAAAAGCAGATATCACCATTTAATTCCTTTTCCTAAAGAAAACAGCTCAACTAGATTGTTGAAAAGATCAAAGGAGAAAGGTTAAGTATGAGATTTGCTTTGGCTTCACTGGAACATTACTCTTCAGATGCAGAATGCTACCGAGTGGAAAGAAGGCAGCCACCTGTCTCCCAGGTCCTGGTACCTGGGCTCTTTAGAACCCAAGCTGGAAGCCATGCCACAGCTGATGACGACACTTCCATGTCATGCTCTTAGGCCTGGGTCTCCACCACCGCAGTCACCAAGGATCCCTCTTTACGACCAAGGGAAATCATGAGACGCATCCCTGGAAATGTGCCACTGGTTGATTGGCATGACTAATGCTCTCTAAAATGCTGTGTTCAAAATCCAGTGGATGGGCGCACAAGAACGTCAAATCCGACTCTGCACTTAGATGAAAAGACAGCAGCTGGGACAGAGGTGATCTCCCAGTAGCATAGCCACATCTGCTTAGTGGCACCTCAGACACCTCTTTGCTTGTAGCTACTCTGTAGGGGGAAGGAAGATGAGCTTGCTCTTGTTCATCAGGAATTCCATCCCTGTGTGAGATTTAGATATGTTACAAAACTTCTGTTTCCTCCAATCTCTAAGTCCCTGGATGGGACATTCAGAGCACTAAGTGTGACTAAGGGCTTGGGGTACAAAAGTTCATGGCGACCCCCAGCGGCCTTATTACTTTATCCCTGAACCTCAGCTGCCTCACATCTGTAGGAGGGATGATAGCACCTACTTCACAATCATGATTAAATACATCGGTGCAGGGATGCCACGTGCCCAGCCTGTGCTTGAACCCTGACTGAGCCACTATCATTAACACAGGTGTTGCCCAACAGGATGGAAGCTTTGACAGATAGGTGGTTTCAGCCACTCATTCTCTTGGCTGCCAACACATGAACTGTCCCCACCTGTCCGTCCAAGCCCATAGAGGACTGTCAGGTGGCTTGCATCTGCAAAAGTAAATAAGAAAAGCAATTTGGGCTGTTTGGGGAGCCAAGATGCTAGTTTAATCTTCCAACTTGATAGATTTGGAAGCGTTCCTGTCAATGTAGAAGACTCTGCTCGGGGTGGTGGGGAAGCCGAGGCCAGCCCCCCGGTTGTACTTCCAGCTCATAGCCCTGTCGTAGTCTTGCTGCAGGTTCTGCTGCAGGGTGTCCGCGGCCTTCTTGCTCATGGCCATGTTGGGCTTTCCAATCATGCTGGGCGGGCGACTGAAGGAAGGGGACAGATTCTTAAAGCCACCCATAAGTTTGAGAAATTTCAGTTTCTGCTCCTCGTTTTCAAAACCAGCAGTATCCCACTGGCCAAACTGGGTTCCCTGCATTAAAAGGAAAAAGGCCATCATTTTCCTTGTATGCGAAGGAGTCCCCCAACTCCACCCCAACTAGGACAGTTCTGCTGGTTTAAATGCCAGCTCGAGGGCCACTCAGCAGTTTCCTGCTGTTATTCCCGACAAGGATTCCATGAGGAATGCTGGGATGCTGATAAGGAGACAGAGGTCTGCCCCAGACCTGAGGCCACAAGCCACACTGTAACCTGGTGGAGTCCAACTCTGGCCCAGCCAGCAAGAGCCCTCTGTATACCTAGCTCTCTCACCCCACATGTGGGGAACGGCACAGCACAGCACAGCTCCCCTCCGCACAAAACACCTTATTTCACCTTGGGTTTTTTGGGGGGAGGTTGGGGGCACAAGGAATGGAGCCCAGGATACATTATCACTGAGCTGTACCCCCAGCCCTCTTTATTGCATTTCTATTCTAGGACAGGGTCTCACTAAGTTGTCCAAGTTGGCCTCAAACCTGCCATCCTCCTGCCTCCACATCCCAAGTCACTGGAATTATAGGCCTGCGCCATATGCCCAGGGCATCTCCACCTTACCCAGCCCTACTCCACACCCCGTCAGGCCTCGGCAGCTCATCCATCAGCCTACTGTTTTCAGTGGGAGGGGAGGGGAGCAACTGGGAACTGAAGAGTTTTTCTTCTCCAGCACTGCACTTTACAGCAGCAAGGAGTGAGGCCCACAAAGAGTCACAAGGCCAAGTTAGAGGCCGAGCCAGCCCAGCAACTCAGGGGTCCCAATTCCAGCCAGAGCATTCTACCATCTGTGCACAAATCTCCCACGTGCACAAGACAGCCCCTCAAGACACCTCATGGGAGACACAAGAAACCCAACTCCCCAACTTTCAAATCATGTGGCCCCAGGCTAAAGCCCCACCTGGTCCAGTCACCCACCCTAAGCCTCAATGTCCTTATTTACCATCCTCAAGGGGCTTTGGTGAAACTTAAGATTTTATACCAGAAATGCAGTGCACAGCTCTTGGCCCACCGTCAGTCTCCCCCACCAAAACACTGACCTGGAACTGTCCACCTGCCAGCCCAGTGCTCATTTCCACCTCGGCTCTGGGAGAACAATCAGAACCAGCTGTCGTTACAGTGGCTCTGAGTGAACTGGTGACCCGTCCTCCCCGCTACGCGGTGGCCAGGTGCAGGAATGAGTGCTGCCTCCCTGGCCTGCGATTTCTAGAGCGGGGCTGCTGGTGATGGCTCCTACCAGGGTCTGAGGAGAGCTCATCAGCAGGCAGATGGCCTGCCTTGAGAGGCCCACGGCCAGCAGACCCCAGCCCAGGATGACACCCCGTTTCTTGTCCCCATAGTCAGGGTGTCCTGCTCAGCTCAACAGGATGGAGGATCCAAGCACAGCAAAAGAAAGAGCGGAAAGCCCTATTCCACGACCGTCAGGCTAGGCCAAGTCCCAGGGAAGCTTCCTGCCCAGAGACTCAACAAAGTGGCGGAGTCAGTAACCCACCGCAGGTTTTCAGATTCACAGAGCAGTCGCTCCTGCCGTTGCAGCCTGAAGGCTAAAGACAGCAAGAGAGCAGCCTGCCCCAGCACCTGGGTCCCTCTCCCCCAGTCCAGCCTGTTACAGAGTCCCCCTATCCCTCCTCCTCTGCACCCTCCTCAGGTGAGCAGGCCGAGCCCTCTGACGGGCCCCTCCCCGGGGAATGCCCCCCAGAGCTCCCCCTGTAGTAGCTCACTGTAAGCACCCCACTATTGCCTCAGCCGCTGAAGCTGGCCTGGTGGGCAGGCACACTGTGTCCCAACCACCATGCCACCTGGCTGGCCTTCACTACACCGTGGCCCACCTTTGGGCTCTGCACTCACCGTTGTCTTCTCATTCTTTCCTGTTTCCCCACCACCCCTGCACCCCCACCAGCCGGTGAGCACGATGAAGGGTCACGTGTGCCCTGGGCCGCCTCTGCCAACACCTGGATGCAATGATTCAGCTGAGTGACAGGGTATGGAGAGGAGGGACCCAGCAAGGCGGAGCTCACCCACCCCAGCAGCCTGGCTTCATGGTCCCTGCAGTGTCCTTCCGTCTGCCCTAGCTTCTTAGGCCAGCTCTGGCAATTTCCCATCCAACATGGATCTCAATCTGAGAGGCCTGCCACCTCCCAGCCCCGCCCCCGCCTCCTGCGCAGCTCCCAGCAGCCCTCCCAGGACACCACCCTCTGCTGCCAAGTTTGCACCAAGTTCTCCACCATCCAGGTCACCCGGCTCACTCGCCCAGAGCAGGACACGGCTTTACTTCACACGGCCAGCTCCCCGGGGGAAGGCAAGCATCCTTTTGAAAGGAAGGAGAATGGCTAGGACAGCTCGGTGGAGAGCGCCTGGTGGCAACCTGGGGCTGCCTGGGGCCTGGATGAACAGTTCCCCCCTCCATGCCCCAGGCGAGCAGCAAGGGCTGGAGTGTGAACACCAAGCACACCTCACACACCCTGGCATCAAACTTACCGTCCAGTTCCCGCCGGCTTCAGAAGCTTCCGTCTTGCCAGACTCACGATCGATCTCTTCCTGTAAGGCCTTTCGCCTCACCTGAGCAAGGAGGGAAACCAAGTTTTGTTTTGACCTAAAAACTCAGACAGATGGAGCCAGGCAGTGGAGGGTGCGGCAGGCAGCAAGCTCCACTCTCTGGAGATCAGGGGAAGGTTCTGCATCCCCTCTAGACCTGGGGCTGCAGTCCTGATGAACAGGCCTTCCCTACCCTCCTGGACAGGGTCTCCTGAGAATGACTTTCCCTACAGACACTCATCCACCTTCCCAGACATTCTGGGAGGGAACTTTCCTAACAGCAATGCCAAGGCCCTGTTGTCCTGTGATGATGGCACCACTTTCTAGACAGATGGAGGCTGTGTGCAGAATAAGGCAGAAGCTAGTTTGAATCCCTGTACTGCCATCAACCAGCCCTCTTTATTGCATTTGGGTAGGGTAGGTCACCTAACTTTTCTGAACACTGGCCAATTTATCTACCAAGAAGGCAACATCAGCTCCTTTAGAGGGTAAGTGGGAGAAACACCCAGGTGGAGGAGAGTTGGACACACAGTAGGTACCTCTCATACCGTATGGTAGGATGACTCAAGGCCTCCCCTGGACCAACGACAACCCTGCTGTTCAGTATAGAAGCTTCCAGGGCCTTTAAGGTTCAGGTTTGACATCAGGTCCCCCAATTTTTGGCCCCTCCTCCCTTCTGATCTATAAAGGCTGTGAAGTGAGGTGACCTTTTCTATCATATAAAACTAAAACAAGAGA